ACGGGGTAGTGTTACATCTGACACACCAGCCAGGACCAGGCTAGATAATTCTGTCCTTCTTCTCCTCACAAATTGGGCTCCTCGCAAACAGATAATCTGTTTTAGCCTGGGAACCTAATCTGCCCTGTCACTGAGAACATACACACACCTACACATACACATGCTTGAATGCACACACAAACATGAATGTGCACACATGTACACATGTCGGTTACAGATGGATGATCCTCATCTGTTCCAGTTAGCATGTGCTTAGTACTGCTCCTTTGACAGCTTCCTCAACCACACACACACTTTAACCCCCACGTTAATCAGATCAGTGACTTAAGGATTGGTCTCCAACCAGAGGTCACTGAGGAGAGAAATGGTATGACTCTGACCTAGATGTAGAGGCAGGCTGAGGTGAAAGAAGAGAGAGAGACAGAGACAGAGTGCGAGAGAGAGAGAGACAGAGACAGAGCGAGAAGGTCCAGATGTCAAGGAAACCAATATACTTTTTTACTAGGCTCCACTCATATAGAACACACACACCTACACATATTTGGGACTGAAAATGAGCTCCACAGGGAGCTTCAACCTGGCCGTGAATTAAAGGAAAGACAAAGCAAGGATCTATTAAATTAGACATACTGTACCAATTAGGATCTGGCTCAAAATATTCAAATCAATAATAGAACCAATTGCAATATATGGCAGTGAAGTGTGGGGTCCACTTACAAAGCAAGAATGGGACAAATAGGACAAACACCCAACTGAAACCCTGCATGCGGAATTCTGTAAGAGCATCCTCAGAGTACAGAGAAAAACTCCAAACAACGCATGCAGAGCAGATTTAGGCCAATTCCCTCTTCTGATTAATATCCAAAAAAGAACAAGTGACCCCCACTCCTGCCATTACAAAGCCCTCAAATGCCAAAAGTTGACCATAGAAAAGAGTCCCCTCAGCCAGCTGGTTTTGAGGCTCAGTTCACTAACCCCTACCAACCCAACAAAGCCTCATGACAGCACTCAGAAAATCTGGCCCAAACAAATCATCACAAAGCAAAAAGAAAAATATATCACCTACTGAAAAGACACCACAAAAAATCTAAGTCAACTTCAATGCTATTTGGCTCTAAACAGACAGTACATGGTGGCAGACTATGTAACTACTGTGATTGATAGAAAACTGAGAAAAACACAGACTATGTACAGACTCAGTGAGCACAGCCTGGCCATAGAAACCGGCTGTCACAGACAAATCTGGCTACCCAGAGAGGACAGGTTGTACTCACTCTGCCCTCAGAGAGAGGTCGAGACAGAGCTGCATTTTCTCCTACACTGCGAGAACTATGCAGACTTGCAGGCAATTTTCTTTCACAAAATTAAAAAACAAAAATTAACCTAAACAGAAAAGGAGAAAATCCAGTGTCTACTGGGAGAAAAAACCCTTTGTGCCATATTAGCTGCAAAATATGTAGCTTCTTGCCACACCCGTAGGGACAGCCAGTGGAACGACCAACCAGAGCAATAACATTGCTGCCTGTGTCTTTCTCACTATTTCATTATTGTCCTCATTCATGTCTTACTGTAGTAATAATAATAATAATAATATGCCATTTAGCAGACGCTTTTATCCAAAGCGACTTACAGTCATGCGTGCATACATTTTTGTGTATGGGTGGTCCCGGGGATCGAACCCACTACCTTGGCGTTACAAGCGCCGTGCTCTACCAGCTGAGCTACAGAGGACCACCATAATTGTACTATTATGTGTGTAGTGTCCTGTTAATTATTACTACTCATTGAGTATTATTATTTGTCCAATTATTATCTATCTGCGACATCACTGAGGTTACCTCTAAATAAGCCCCAAAGAAAACTGTCCACTGTGTTTGGGCCAAACTACTGCAACTGAGAGGATTTAGACTTGAATAACCTTGAAGGATACACACCCACACACAGATAATCTCCCATGAGAATATATTAGTGGAGACACCACCCTCCAGTGGATAAGGAATTAACCAACATCACTTCTCATGTTGACCTCATGGCCCGTATTCACAAATCCTCTCAGAGTAGGAGTTCTGATCTAGGATCAGTTTTGGCTGAATTGTATCATTATGAATAAGATTGTATTAACAGGTGGGACCTGATCCTAGATCAGCAATCCTACTCTGAGATATTTTATCAATACGGGCCCTGGGCCACGCAAAGACATTTAGGGGGGCAAGAGCTCACAGTTTAAAATTAACCCAGTTCTTTCCATCTGATTTTGCTAAATAATGCAATCTGACTAGACATCCACAGCTCCAGCTGCATTTTCCAACCCCATCTCTTAGCTCCAAGTGGCGGGCTGCCATTTTGTGGTTTTCTGAATTAGGGAATGGGCCTTAAATACTCTAAATTGTTTAAAGTCATGGTTAACTGGGCATCAAAATCCATTTTTAAAGATAAACGCACCTAAGTATCGTTATAATATTATATTGTGAGGACCGTGGCAATTCCTATCTCTAACAGGTGTGTTTGCATATTAGATAGAAAATGACACAATTGTGAGCCCTAGTTTTGAACAGACCAGGGTCATATTCACTAGACACCAAATGGACGAATATGCACCAAAACGGGTTAGGGACTAACTGAACATGTCCAATAACAAACTCTAGTTTTGTTTGCAAAATGTTTTTCATTGTAAAAATGTACACTAATAAATAAGACCCTGGGTTCAAATACTATTTAAAATCATTACAAATACTTTAGCTGTGCTTGATTGAGCTTTCCCCAAACGTGCACTGCAAACCCCACCAACAACTGACACCCGAGGCAGGCTTAAGAAAACGCTCAGAGTTCAAATATTACTTGAACGCAGGTCAAAGACTATTTGAAGTAATTCCTCTTGTCGTTTGAAATCCTTTTACAAACAAACATTGAAAAACACTGAGCAATTTTTTGTTTGTTTTAATATTTAATTCATTTACAGACATTTAATAGACTTTAATAAACATCAACGTGATTCATAATCTGCATTTTGTTACTTCAGAAAGTCATTCTGTTTCAAATGAGTCAATATGTTGAAATACAATTTTGGATATACACTGAGTGCACTACAAATCAAGAACACCTGATCCTTCCATGACAGACTAACCAGGTGAATCCAGGTGAAAGCTATGATTCCTTATTGATGTCACTTGTTAAATCCACTTCAATCAGTGTAGATGAAGGGGATGAGACAGGTTAAAGAAGGATTTTTAAGCCTTGAGACAATTGAGTCATGGATTGTGTATGTGTGCCATTCAGAGAGTGAATGAGCAAGACAGAAATGTAAGTGCCTTTGAACGGGGTATGGTAGTAGGTGCCAGGCACACCGGCTTGTGTCAAGAACTGCAACGCTGCTGGGTTTTTCATGCTCACCAGTTTCCGTGTGTATCAAGAAAGGTCAACCACCCAAAGGACATCCAGCTAACTTGACACAACTGTGGGAAACATTGGAGTCAACCTGGGCCAGCATCCCTGTGGAACACATTCGACACCTTGAAGAGTCCATGCCCTGACGAATTGAGGCTGTTGAGGGCAGATATAATATTAGGAAGATGTTCTTAATGTTTTGTACACACAGTGTATACCAAAATACCACACGGACTATCTGCATTGACCCTTTTACACTGACTCAATGCACACTCACAGGATTCTACACTCACTCACACCGATACTCCAACACACACACACACTTAATTTAGTCACACACACATTACACACATGCACATACAATCATGATTTCCGCTGCTGCTATTCAGTTTATCATATATCCTGATGCCTAGTCACCTTACCCCTATGCATATCTACCCCTATCACTCCAGTATCACTGCACATTGTAAAAATGGCACTGACCCTAGAACTGACCCTGTATGTAGCTTACTTACTTTCTGGTGTTCTTCTTGTTTCTATTTCTTGCGTGTTTTTGTTCTACTTTACTTTATGTTATAGTACTACTGATATTGATTACTGCATTGTTGGGAAAGAGCTTGCAAGAAAGGCATTTCACAGTACTTGTGCACATGACAAAAAAAATGGAAATTGGAAAAAATAGTGATATTTTAATGATTAGTATCACAGTACAGTTACATTAACCATGTTGCTTTATAAATACAAAAATACGTGTTTAGTCATAAAAAACATAGCTAGAGATGTAGTTCCTCTCCATCTCGTTTTACCATGGCATGATATCTCCACCACTAGTTTGAAGTTGGAGGAGAGGAACCTCTCTCTCTGTCTCTCTTTCTTTCGCTTGCACACACAGCACGCATGCACACACACAGTCCTATTGACAGGGGAGAAAGACGAGGTTGTGCATAACCTACAACCCCAGCACACCAACAGATGGTGCTAGAGTCATACATCTATCCATCCATCCATCTCTAAAGTCACAGATATGATGACATCTAGTTTAAATATAATAATTTACAGAATGGAAGGTCTGCGTGATAGTCTTTCATGTCTCAGTGGTGACCTTGAAGTGGATGACAACTCCTGCATGGAGTCATACAGTCCTCGTTGTAGTGCATAGAGAGATATCTTCGCCGTCTGCATGGCGACCGCACACACGCACAGACACACACTCCCTCGCTCTCTCTCACACACACACACACACACCCTCTGTCCTGCTCGATCACACCTTCAAGTGTGACGTCCCCGGGACTTTCGATGATATTCAGGGGACATGTTTTTAGCTTGGAAGGGCCTTCCCATTGTCCCAGTGCTCTTCCGAACATCCCCATAAGATGGTTGAACCACAACTCAATCTCTGTATCCTGCCAGTACAGTGCAGCCTATGTGCTTTAGCTAAATTCATAGTGCCAAGGGCTCCTGTATAAACATAAGAGTATACTGTATGCAGTCCACAAAGCAAGGCTCAAACATCAACTATCAGACACAGACACAGGCCTAATAGGCTCATTGCATATGTCATCCATATGACCAGGCTGCCAGACTTTATGTAGCCCATATGTCCATGACATGTAGCTTCACAGGCGTGAATGAGAGGAGGAGGCCAGCTCGTAGAAGAGCACGTAGGCGTCACTGCTGCGGACCTGGCTGGACGACATGGGGCTCACCCTGTAAGGACACAGAGAAGAAGTGTGTTAATTAGAGCATACAGACACACCCACACACATATATAGAAATATACACAGAGTCTACCAAACATTAGGAACACCTGCTCTTTCCATGACATAGACTGACCAGGTGAATCAAGGTGAAAGCTATGATCCCTTATTGATGTCACCTGTTAAATCCACTTCAATCAGTGTAGATGAAGGGGAAGAGACAGGTGAAAGAAGGATTTTAAAGCCTTGAGACATGGATTGTGTATCTGTGCCATTCAGAGAGTGAACGGGCAAGACAAATATTTAAGTGCCTTTGAACGGGGTATGGTAGTAGGTGCCAGGCACACTGGTTTGTGTGTCAAGAACTGCAATGCTGCTGGGTTTTTCACACTCAACAGTTTCCTGTGTGTATCAAGAATGGTCCACCACCCAAAGGACATCCAGCCAACTTGACACAACTGTGGGAAGCATTGAAGTCAACATGGGCCAGCATCCCTGTGGAACGCTTTTGACACCTTGCGAATTGAGGCTGTTCTGAGGGCAAAAAGGAGTCCAACTCAATATCAGGAAGGTGTTCCTAATGTTTTGTACACTCAGTGTAGCGTGATACACACACAGACATTAACAAACAGAAAAGGAACAAACAGAACACAGAGCCTTGACTCTGATATAGTAGCAAACTGTACTCCAAGATAAGAGCGTCTGCTAAATGACGTAAAATTTTTATTATGACAATGTATATGGGGTGGAGGGGACATCATGGCATCATCACATACCTGGAGTCATTGTAGCTGTACCACTCCCCCAGGGTTGGGTTCCTGCAGTAAGCTGTGTAGTGGCCACCCAGCGTGTTCCCAGAGTGGTTGGACACCGCATAGAGATTATACACTGCATTCACTACACAGAGAGAGAGACAGAGAGAGACACAGAGAGAGAGAGAGAGAGAGAGAGAGAGAGAGAGAGAGAGAGAGAGAGATAGAGAGAGAGAGAGAGAGAGATAGAGAGAGAGAGAGAGAGAGAGATAGACAGAGATAGACAGAGAGACAGAGAGAGAGAGAGAGATTAGTGTTATGTCATTGACATCACTAAGGCCTTCATTCAGTTTCAACAGTCCCCTAACATCATTGAAAAACAATGTCTGTTTTAAGCCTGATTTATGAAGAGGATGGGTTATCTATAGACTGTACACAAAGCAAGTCAGTTCAACTGGGTGTGTGTGTATGCGTGAGTGTGTGTGGTTGTGTGCGTATGTCCTGAGTTCAATGAAGCCAGATGATCCAGTCAGTCTAGCCAGTACTTACAGTTGAAGTCGGAAGTTTACATACACCTTAGCCAAATACATTTAAACTCAGTTTTTCACAATTCCTGACATTTAATCCTAGTAAAAATTCCCTGTCTTAGGTCAGTTAGGATCACCACTTTATTTTAAGAATGTGAAATGTCAGAATAATAGTAGAGAGAATAATATATTTCAGCTTTTATTTCTTTCATCACATTCCCAGTGGGTCAGAAGTTTACATACACTCAATTAGTATTTGGTAGCATTGCCTTTAAATTGTTTAATTTGGGTCAAACGTTTCGGGTAGCCTTCCACAAGCTTCCCACAATACGTTGGGTGAATTTTGGCCCATTCCTCCTGACAGAGCTGGTGTAACTGAGTCAGGTTTGTAGGCCTCCTTGCTCGCACACGCTTTTTCAGTTCTGCCCACACATTTTCTACAGGGTTGAGGTCAGGGCTTTGTGATGGCCACTCCAATACCTTGACTTTGTTGTCCTTAAGCCATTTTCCCACAACTTTGGAAGTATGCTTGGAGTCATTGTCCATTTGGAAGACCCATTTGCGACCAAGCTTTAACTTCCTGACTGATGTCTTGAGATGTTGCTTCAATATATCCACAACATTTTCCTTCCTCATGATGCCATCTATTTTGTGAAGTGCACCAGTCCCTCCTACAGCAAAGCACCCCCACAGCATGATGCTGCCACCCCTGTGCTTCACGGTTGGGATGGTGTTCTTCGGCTTGCAAGCAACCCCCTTTTTCCTCCAAACAACGATGGTCATTATGGCCAAACAGTTCTATTTTTGTTTAATCAGACCAGATGACATTTCTCCAAAAAGTATGATCTTTGTCCCCATGTGCAGTTGCAAAACGTAGTCTGGCTTTTTTATGGCGGTATTGGAGCAGTGGCTTCTTCCTTGCTGAGCGGCCTTTCAGGTTATGTCGATATAGGACTTGTTTTACTGTGGATATAGATACTTTTGTACCTGTTTCCTCCAGCATCTTCACAAGGTCCTTTGCTGTTGTTCTGGGATTTATTTGCACTTTTCGCACCAAAGTACGTTCATCTCTAGGAGACAGAACGCGTCTCCTTCCTGAGCGGTATGACGGCTGCGTGGTCCCATGGTGTTTATACTTGCGTACTATTGTTTGTACAGATGAACGTGGTACCTTCAGGCATTTGGAAATTGCTCCCAAGGATGAACCAGACTTGTGGAGGTCTACAATTCTTTTTCTGAGGTCTTGGCTGATTTCTTTTGTTTTTCCCATGATGTCAAGCAAAGAGGCACTGAGTTTGAAGGTAGCCCTTGAAATACATCCACAGGTACACCTCCAATTAACTGAAATTATGTCAATTAGCCTATCAGAAGCTTCTAAAGTCATGACATCATTTTCTGGAATTTTCCAAGCTGTTTAAAGGCACAGTCAATTTAGTGTATGTAAACTTCTGGCCCACTGGAATTGTGATACAGTGAATTATAAGTGAAATAATCTGTCTGTAAACAATTGTCGGAAAAATTACTTGTGTCATGCACAAAGTAGATGTCCTAAACGACTTGCCAAAACTATAGTTTGTTAACAAGAAATGTGTGGAGTGGTTGAAAAACAAGTTTTAATGACTCCAACCTAAGTGTAGGTAAACTTCCGACTTCAACTGTATATCAGGCCAGTCAATAAACGTCTTATCTACACAAGACTCTCTAGAAATGGCCCTAAAAGTACTTCTAAAAAGAAAAACAATACAATATCAAAGTAGCGGGAGACAGAGTGCTATCTATGGAGTTTGTTGAGTGTGTGTGTGAGTACTACTTACTGCTCTCAGAGCCAAATTCTCTCATGTCCAGCTCTTTGAGGGGAAAGTTGACGTAGGTGGAGAGCTTACTGTTTCGAACACGGTTCTCTGAGAAGCGCTTGAGGTCTGAGAGAGGGGCTCGGTCAAGGATAAGCACATGGACAGCTGAAGCATATAGCTAATGAAAGCATAGTGGCATAGATGGCTATTGATAGCATAGCAGTATAGCTACTGATAGCATAGTAGCTTACATATTGGTATCATAGTAGCATAGCTATTGATACCATAGTCCCATATTGATAGATATTGATAGCATTGTAGCATTGCTATTATGCAATTCTATACCTGGCTTTCATAGGGCAGCTGGCTACATACAGTTGAAGTCGGAAGTTTACATACACCTCAGCCAAATACATTTAAACTCAGTTTTTCACAATTCCTTACATTTAATCCTAGTAAAAATTCCCTGTTTTAGGTCAGTTAGGATCACCACTTTATTTTAAGAATGTGAAATGTCAGAATAATAGTAGAGAGAATAATATATTTCAGCTTTTATTTCTTTCATCACATTCCCAGTGGGTCAGAAGTTTACATACACTCAATTAGTATTTGGTAGCATTGCCTTTAAATTGTTTAACTTGGGTCAAACGTTTCGGGTAGCCTTCCACAAGCTTCCCACAATAAATTGGGTGAATTTTGGCCCATTCCTCCTGACAGAGCTGGTGTAACTGAGTCAGGTTTGTAGGCATCCTTGCTCGCACACGCTTTTTCAGTTCTGCCCACAAATGTTCTATAGGATTGAGGTCAGGGCTTTGTGATGGCCACTCCAATACCTTGACTTTGTTGTCCTTAAGCCATTTTCCCACAACTTTGGAAGTATGCTTGGAGTCATTGTCCATTTGGAAGACCCATTTGCGACCAAGCTTTAACTTCCTGACTGATGTCTTGAGATGTTGCTTCAATATATCCACAACATTTTCCTTCCTCATGATGCCATCTATTTTGTGAAGTGCACCAGTCCATCCTGCAGCAAAGCACCCCCACAGCATGATGCTGCCACCCCCGTGCTTCACGGTTGGGATGGTGTTCTTCGGCTTGCAAGCCTTCCACAGTTATATTTTTGTTTCATCAGACCAGAGGACATTTCTCCAAAAAGTACGATCTTTGTCCCCATGTGCAGTTGCAAACCGTAGTCTGGCTTTTTTTATGGCGGTTTTGGAGCAGTGGCTTCTTCCTTGCTGAGTGGCCTTTCAGGTTATGTCGATATAGGACTTGTTTTACTGTGGATATAGATACTTTTGTACCTGTTTCCTCCAGCATCTTCACAAGGTCCTTTGCTGTTGTTCTGGGATTGATTTGCACTTTTCGCACCAAAGTACGTTCATCTCTAGGAGACAGAACGCGTCTCCTTCCTGAGCGGTATGATGGCTGCGTGGTCCCATGGTGTTTATACTTGTGTACTATTGTTCGTACAGATGAACGTGGTACCTTCAGGCGTTTGGAAATTGCTCCCAAGGATGAACCAGACTTGTGGATGTCTACAATTCTTTTTCTGAGGTCTTGGCTGATTTCTTTTGATTTTCCCATGATGTCAAGCAAAGAGGCACTGAATTTGAAGGTAGGCCTTGAAATACATCCCCAGGTATACCTCCAATTGATTCAAATGATGTCAATTAGCCTATCAGAAGCTTCTAAAGCCATGACATCATTTTCTGGAATTTTCCAAGCTGTTTAAAGACACAGTCAACTTCTGACCCACTGGAATTGTGATACAGTGAATTATAAGTGAAATAATCTGTCTGTAAACAATTGGTGGAAAAATTACTTGTGTCATGCACAAAGTAGATGTCCTAACCGACTTGCCAAAACTATAGTTTGTTAACAAGAAATTTGTGGAGTGGTTGAAAAACGAGTTTTAATGACTCCAACCTAAGTGTATGTTAACTTCCGACTTCAACTGTAGGTTAACCCCAGATGCCAGAACCATAGACTTTTAATACACTCTGTTTGAAATATATAACATTTCAACGACTTTGGCTCCAAAGTTCCTTGAAAATGACAGTTCATTCTAGCTATGTATCTGGTTATAGTGTTATTGCTACTCTTCTACTACTATAAAGTTATACTACTACAACTACTACTACTACAACTACAACTACTACTACTACTACTACTACTACTACTACTACAACTATTACTACAACTAATACTACAACTATTACTATTACAACTATTACTACTACAACTACTACTATTACAACTACTAGTACTACTAGATTGGAAGTAACTTAATTGTTGGGGGAACCAATGATGGGGACACTAATATGAAGTAGTAGAAAGGATACGAAGCACAAGGATTTGAGGGAACTTCTGGATGGTGAACTTCTTAGTGCATTTCCGCCTGGCTTTACACCTGTGGCATGTCTGGAGGAGGAAAGGGAGAGAGGGTTTGGTCATTACATGTGGAAACTCACACTGACAGACATTACTACTTCCTGGGTTCAAATAATATCTCCAATATCTCAATTACTTTCACATACATTCAAAGTAAGTATTCAGAACGTAGTGGAACATTTTAATGTATTTGGAAACTCATTTGGAAAGAATTTGAAACATTCAAATACACTGACTCAAATACACTCCCATAAGTTTAACCCAGGTATTGGAAAATAGTATTTGAAATAGGTACTTGAAAATCCTCTTAAATACAATTTGGTTGACTATTTGGTTTTTACAAATAACCATTCAAATACTCAAATAAAAGCACTTGTTTTGGACTGTGCATTTGAAAATACTCAAATACACAGAAAAATTATTTTTAATACCAAATACTCAAATAACAGACACAGACACCAACAGCAATAGCAATAGTCCCTTACCGGTTTCTCATCTCCATCCAGTACGTCTTCTTTAGTGAAGAGTCGCATGCAGTCTGTCAGACTCACCTCCCCTGAACCTTTCTGTGGACACAAACACCCTCAGTCAGACACAGCTTTCACTGTGTGTGTGTGTGTGTGTGTGTGTGTGTGTGTGTGTGTGTCCGTGCCTGCCTGCCTACCTGCCTGCGTGCATGTGTGTGAGTGTGCATGCGCAAGTGTGTACACTGACCTTAGCGATGGGTAGTGACAAGTCCCAGAATGGATCGAACACAGTGGAGCAGTAGCCACACTCACTGCAGGTCAGAGAGCTCTTCAGCTGGCCCACAAACAGATCTATACAGCGAAACAGATACACTATTACACACAATGAACATCAAACTTGTAATATACACACTTGTTCTCAGTCACTTACCAACCACTTTGCTGTCCTCTCTCTCTAGGTATTTGTTCCACATTCTCTTCCCTTTCTCATTGTCACTGTGGAGGAGACAAACACAGATCCCATTTCAGTTTACAGTCAAACAAGGTGTCCTCTACAACAGACACACTCCTCTCTATTTAAGATCCCAGGGGAGTTTAATCTGAGGCACCCAGTCTTGGTAAAAAAAAAAAAACTATAAACCATGACTCATTACAAAGGCAGTTAACAGCCTGAATATTATGAGGCATGTCTAGGCATGTCTAATCCTAGGAGAACATGTCAGGTTCGTGTTCTTGAGGCACCAAACAGAAGAAACGGACTAAGAAATGCTAATTGTCGTTTTCTGTTTCAAAACGGTTCAAACTAACTAACATGCTCCTGGGTTGGTGCTACGGCAGGTGAGACTTACGGCAGGTGGTCAATGTCCTCGGACGGGAGCCTGGGCCGCACTGTGACCCTGTTGACTTCGTTGTGGAGGCCGTCCAATAGGAAATGCAGGAACTCCTGAGCATCCTGCTGACTGGAGGAGAGACAGAGAGAGACAGAGAGATGGGGGAGAGAGAGAGAAAGAGAGATGTTTACTTTCAAAAGCTCGTTATTTCAACCACTCAGCCACAAAATGAGAAATTAATATAAAAGATGTCTACATTAATGCATTACAGAGAGAGAGAGAGAGAGAGAGAGACAGAGAGAGAGACAGAGAAAAAGAGGGGGGTGGGAGAGTATGATGACACTAAATGAACTCACTTTCTCACAGCACACTTATGACCATAGAAATTGAATTACTAGATCAGACCACAGCCCTTTTCTGAATAGACTTACTTGTATCCCACAAATTTGGGCGCGTATCTCTGGATCTGGGTCTTGAAGTCTGAGGGACTGATGGCCTCGCTGCTGACTGACGTCCATAGGGTCTGAGTGAGTTTGGCAAACTCTGTTAGAGAGAAAGACAGAGGGAGAGTAGGGAGAGAGAGAGAGACCAGACAGACAGACAGACAGACAGACAGACAGACAGACATGACAGACAAACATGACAGACAAACATGACAGACAGACAGAGAGAGACAGAGAGAGACAGAGAGAGAGCGAGAGAGAGTGAGAGCGAGAGCGAGAGAGAGAGAGTGAGGGGAAAATAAAATGAGAGCACTTTTAGCCATTGTACTGTTAAGCAGAGGTCACATTGCAGGGAAAGGACAGAAAGGAAAGGGATACCTAGTCAGTTGTACAACTGAATGCATTCAACTGAAATGTGTCTTCTGCATTTAACCCAACCCCTCTGAATCAGAGAGGTGCGGGGGGCTGCCTTAATCGACATCCACGTCATCGGCGCCCGGGGAGCAGTGGGTTAACTGCCTTGCTCAGGGGCAGAACGACAGATTTTTACCTTGTGAGCCATGTGAAGAATAATAATCAGGTAGTAGACAGAACTACTGTTACTGTTCAAATGTTAACCATCTCCAAACCCTGTCTGAGGATCAGTGTGGCGTGTGTGTGTGTGTTTTTGTATACATGCACAGAATAGCTGCTATATGTTTCAAATCAACTTAAGACACAATTTGTATAAGTCTTAAGCATACAGGTTACGTTACAAATTAGAGGTCAGTATTATAGTGACCCTCAGGTGATTCTATAAATATTCTTAGGATGATTATTATGTTGCATAACAAACATGATCAGTGCTTTTTTACACAATTTTGTCCTTTCTTTTTTTTTAACCAAATAGTCTGCACTGGCTCACTGTCAAATTTTCCAGAATTCGTCAGCTGGTAACACCCTTCTAATGTCATTCTAATAATGCATTATACCTGCAGGCTTAAGTCAAGTGCAACCAGTTGGACAGTAGTGTGTCTTACCCTCCATGAGAGCAGCCTTGGCTCTGCAGTTGTTGTTGAGGTCGGTGCGGTGTGTGTTCCTCAGACAGTAGTCCCTCAGGTCAGGAGTGTTGCTCAGACACTGCAGGATCGAGTTCATGAAACACTACACCAGAAAATAGAGGGAGAGAGAAGGGGGATAGAGAGAGAGAAAAAGGAGGGAAGATTTATTAGACAAGAAGTACACACTTTTCAGTGACAGGGATAGATATTCCAAAGAGTGGACATCAGATCTGCTACAAACCAGACCAGATATAAGCACAGTGTAAAAACAGACTTGTGTGTTAGTGGCGGAGGTAATGGTTTACTCACTGTGTTGCCGAGGTTTCTCAGTCCCACCAGGCCTTGAGGACTCTTGGAGTTCTGTTGAGACAAAGACAGGGAGACACAGGTTAGAGCACAGCAGAAACCCCTCTTCACTCAGTCACACCCTGACACATGACAACCTAAAGGGACACAGGACCAAACACATACCATTGTTTTGCCCGCGCTACAGACGGCTATATCTGTCCGCTAATACAGGACTGGTAAAGGACCAGTGCACTACTTTTGAGAAAAAATACAATTTAACAACAAACAAAAAAGTTACTGCTATATTTTGTATTTATTCTGATTTTTCAGGGGGTGCTGCAGCAGCACCCTCAGCACCCCTACTTCCTGCGGCTATGGTTGGATGTTCACTGGAGTGGTGTGACCTTGTCTGAAGGGTTTTTGAAGGTCAGTGTGTATCATTGCCTTAAGGTCAGAGTACAGTCGTGGTCAAAAGTTTTGAGAATGACACAAGTATTGGTCTTCACAAAGTTTGCTGTTTCAGTGTTTTTAGATATTTTTGTCAGATGTTACTATGGTATACTGAAGTATAATTACAAGCATTCCATAAGTGTCAAAGGCTTTTATTGACAATTACATTAAGTTTATGCAGAGTCAATATTTGCAGTGTTGACCCTTCTTTTTCAAGACCTCTGCAATCCGCCCTGGCATGCAGTTCTGGGCCACATCCTGACTGATGGCAGCCCATTCTTGCATAATCAATGCTTGGAGTTTGTCAGAATTTGTGGGTTTTTGTTTGTCCACCCGCCTCTTGAGGATTGACCACAAGTTCTCAATGGGATTAAGGTCTGGTGAGTTTCCTGGCCATGGACCCAAAATTTCGATGTTTTGTTCCCCGAGCCACTTGGTTATCACTTTTGCCTTATGGCAAGGTGCTCCATCATGCTGGAAAAGGCATTTGTCGTCACCAAACTGTTTTTGGATGGTTGGGAGAAATTGCTCTCGGAGGATGTGTTGGTACCATTCTTTAATCATGGCTGTGTTCTTAGGCAAAATTGTGAGTGAGCCCACTCCCTTGGCTGAGAAGCAACCCCACACATGAATGGTCTCAGGATGCTTTACTGTTGGCATGACACAGGACTGATGGTAGCGCTCACCTTGTCTTCTCCAGACAAGCTTTTTTCCGGATGCCCCAAACAAAGAAAATGACTTTACCCCAGTCCTCAGCAGTCCAATCCCTGTACCTTTTGCAGAATATCAGTCTGTCCCTGATGTTTTTCCTGGAGAGAAGTGGCTTCCTCGCTGCCCTTCTTGACACCAGGCCATCCTCCAAAAGTCTTTGCCTCACTGTGCGTGCAGATGCACTCACACCTGCCTGCTGCCATTCCTGAGCAAGCTCTGCACTGGTGGTGCCCCGATCCCGCAGCTGAATCAACTTTAGACGGTCCTGGCGCTTGCTGGACTTTCTTGGGCGTCCTGAAGCCTTCTTCACAACAATTGAACCTCTCTCCATGAAGTTCTTGATGATCCGATAAATGGTTGATTTAGGTGCAATCTTACTAGCAGCAATATCCTTGCCTGTGAAGCCCTTTTTGTGCAAAGCAATGATGATGGCACGTGTTTCCTTGCAGGTAACCATGGTTAACAGAGGAAGAACAATGATTTCAAGCACCACCCTCCTTTTAAAGCTTCCAGTCTGTTATTCTAACTCAATCAGCATGACAGAGTGATCTCCAGCCTTGTCCTCGTCAACACTCTCACCTGTGTTAACGAGAGAATCACTGACATGATGTCAGCTGGTCCTTTTGTGGCAGGGCTGAAATGCAGTGGAAATGTTTTTTTGGGGATTAAGTTAATTTTCATGGCAAAGAGGGACTTTGGAATTAATTGCAATTCATCTGATCACTCTTCATAACATTCTGGCGTATATGCAAATTGACATCATAAAAACCGAGGCAGCAGACTTGGTGAAAATTTATATTTGTGTCATTCTCAAAACTTTTGACCACGACTGTACACTACATGTGGTAGCTACGTCATGAGTGGTGGGCTTTGTGACGTTGTGAGACGTTGGGTGAGGGACGCTGCTTGTCATGACCAAAACACAAATAACCACCATCTGTAGCATAAGAACTGAAACAACAAAACCTGACTTATCAAGCCTGCATTAGCACCAGGGCAAAGATAAATTATATCCTGATCTCTTCCATATTGCTATTGTTGTTCAGGACAGATACTAATAGCAATACTATGGTAATACTACGGTATTGTTTGTCATATTTTATCATCTCAACAAATGCCATTTAGTAAAATGATCATGTGGTTTTCATTATCAGAGTCACATATTTTTTTTAAACACCCATTCAAAGATGGTTGAAAACCAGGAAGTGAATGTGAGCAAACCCAAACCTCATTTACCACAATTTGTTTTACTAATTGTGTATAAAATGGGAAATTAAAAGGTTGTAAAATGTTGTTGACCTCTAAAACATTATCATTTTGACACACAAATGTATTATATTTTCTTAATATTTTATATCAGTCCTCATTTAACTAGGCATATCTTCCATTTTAAGTAAATGAAGCAGTCATAAAGTAAATTAATGTATCATTTTTTTTATTATTTAAAAAGTCTACGCAAATTCTAATACAAAATTAGTTTACTCTAATTAGGCTACTCAACAGGCTGGTTAAGATGTTTCCGACGTATTATATATCAAAGTTTAAGTCACGCGAACATATATTATTCATTTATGGCCAATATTGAGGCTAAATACACATATTTGGCAAAACATTGTTTCTGCTATTTTTTTTCTTGGTGTGCCAGTTAAAGGGATAATGTGTTAATGTTGTCTTTCCTGAATACTGGGTTAAACCAGTTCTGGGTTAAGCAGGTTTAATGGATAATACTGCTTTCCCAAGCTTACTGCTACATGTAACCTACTCTATACAGTGTCCCTATAATACACGTTGCTGTACAGGGACATTTCTGAGGATCGGAAATTCTTGGAAGTTACATATTAATATTACACATTCATCTAGTGTTCTATGTAGGCTAGTCCAGATTAAGGTGGGGTGTTTGGTGAAAGTGTAACATTTGGGAGTGAAGCTACGTATCGGTACATCTGCTGACGAATGAAACACCTAAACTGGTATACGGCAGCACCCGCCTGACGCCACAGCTGACAGGACTGGGGTGGTATCACACGTACATGCAGGTACAAACACACATACAATAGTCAAGCACACACAGGCCTGAAACCAGTTGCACACACACAGAGGTAGTCAAGCAAGCACACACAAATAGTCAGGCACACACAGGCCTAAAACAAACGTGCACACACGCCATAGACACGCACACTGTGAATGCATGAGTCAGTGACTATCCCCTGTCCCAGCCCAAACCACTCCACATACTGCACCGTACGTAGCACCACAATGCCACTTCTCACATCCAGACAGGTACCAAATGCCTCATACTTCTCATAGTTCACTTTCCACTGGCAGCGCAGTGTAGGCATTGTCTCTAGAGGTCAAACTCTCATTGAGTTGGAGTGTGAGTACTGAGTAGAGACTGTGCTGCTGCACATGGCCAATCAGAGGGTGTGTCTGGGTACACACTGCATTGTTAGCGCTGAGACGGGGCATATGGCTTGAGCCGCATGCACAGGCCAGTTCCTCACAACCTGGGTAGAAATAGCACTGGAGCCAGGACACTGGGACACTAGTACAGTGATTACTGAGGAGAGGCCTGTGGAGAATGGGCTCTGTCGGCATGTGGCTCACTCGGGACATGGAGGGGGGGTCCAACAATAAGGGCCCTGATTGGCTGACGGCCCGTCTGTTCTGAGGAGGAAGTCATTCCATTGGTTGGCACAGGTTGAAAGTGTGAGAGTGGGGAGAACATTGTGTTCCAGCCTTACTGTGCGGGACTGGTTACAGCCAAACAACTTGTGACTGGGACACACCCACAAACACACCTCGCTTCATACTGTAGCACCACCCAGCAGACACACTGTAGGCTGACTGTACAGCGCATACCAATGAGCCCAAAACAGTGGTGGATAAAGCACTGCTAATGTATTACAACCATTGATAATGTTGTTGAAGCGGTGATAATGTTGTGTTACGGTTATTCAATGGTTATCGGTGACAGTCCTGACTGAGGAACATTCTGCTCTCCCCGTAAAGGACATCCATATATTTAGGCCCTCAGCCCATTCTGAGAACCCATGTGCCCTATCACTCACAGCGTACTGTACATCAGATAAGGTGACACTTTCCTGGAGACATAGGCTGACATTCCTTATCTTGGTGTTTGCTCAACGTCATTACACAACTTCACTCCCTAATTGTTAGTGTGACACAGGGCAAATAGTGCTAACAGTGTTCTTAATGTGTGTTGCGGTTATGCAACAATCGACAAATCAGGTTATCTTCGTTCACAAGTGCTGATAGGGATTTCCTCTATCAATCAGGGAACACAGTGATGTAAAACACTGCTCTTTATCAAGTGTATACTTTCAAGGGCTAGCCGTCACTGAGGGCAATGATTATGAATGGTGGTTTGTTTGGTGTTTCATTGTGAGGTTGTGTGTTGAGAACTTGCCTAATAGAAGGAATGCTAGACAGGCTGCTATAGGGCAATGTGAGCCTTTGTTTGTCCACTAGGGGTAATCCTGTCATTTCCTCAGGGTTCATGTAAGGATTCCTGGACCCATATTCTTAAAACGTCTCAGAGTAGATCTAGGATCAGGTCCATGTAATCTTATTCTTTATGATCTTAAAGTCAAAGCTGATCCTAAATCAGCAATTTTACTCTCAAACGCTTGATAAATACAGTCCCCTGATGTTGCTCTCCTGCATGCCTATGTTGTGGCATATTATACAGGCCTTTACATTTATAATACATTTAGGCCTAGATATATTAAAACATATATATTTCAAGAACGATTTTGAAGTCTTGTGCAGTGTTGTTTACATAGCCAGTGCCACATCAGGTTATGTTTTTTCTTTAGGCCTAATTATTCTCTCTTCAGTAGACTATAGTCTGCATGTCACATTGAAGGTAAAGGTACATATGAATCTGTATCCTCACAAATATTCTGTATTGTAAAGCGTAGGCTATATTCAGGGACATAAATAATAGCTGGAACGGAAGGAGGTAGGCCTAAATTATGTGCATTATGGCCAGCAGTGCACGCACTGGCCGGATTACGTAACCAAATCAGCTGCGCGAGGTGACAGTACGAGTAGGGTGACAGGCAGGCAGCTGGCTCGAGCGCTCCGCGCCTTGAACACAATGTGAAACATTTCCTATTGGATTGAAACGATTCCTATACTGTCATACCCTATTAGGATCCACATGTGTAAACAAAGCTACAACATAAATGACCTGAGTCTAAATTGGCCTGCGTTTTTATTTTTATTTTTATCATTCCACCACACATATCGTAATTCTATTCTATTATCACGGGTGTCGAAATAACTTCTCACTTCTTGGAGAGGATGTAGGACTGCCTATTCAACCTACAGGTGATTCACTTAAATTACTTTACTTTACTTTTGCAAATTAATAACTATTAAAGCCACGCACCCGACAAGATTCCAAGTTCCAACATGGAATGAACAGTGTAAAGGGCTCAATCTCTAAAAGCAATTTCATAACACATTTAATCTGTTGCTCACAGAGTATAAGTGGCATTATTATGTAAGTACGTTTAGCTGCCAACATGATCCTTTACTGGGCTTATTTATTTTGGTGGGAATGTCTCCTGTAACTGAAACAAATCTATCCATGTTATTGTCAATATCATGTATGCCCCTAATTGAAAAAATCGTCTGACAATGTGATCGCTCTCAGTCACAATTTACGGTATGGCATAATGGCACTCCACATCTGTTGTGCATGGACTACCTGAATATGCCTTTGCTTGCAGACCGAAAAGGCGCACTCACCTTGGCTTGATTGATAAGCAGACCCACAAATGTGGACATCAACATTGACCGCGACATTGGAGGACTCTTCCTGCGCAGGTCCGTCTTTAGGAAGGGGAAAGCGGTAGCAGGCGACTCCTCGGGCACAGTCACCGTGTACGACTGTCGCAGACTAGGCATGATGGCGGTGTAGCGGCGGTGTACTAGCAGACTATAGGCCTACAATCAACTTGCGATGGCGATGCTAAAAAGTTGTCTACCGCGACTGAAACAGTCGTCCTGTGTGACGTTGTTGATCTTCCCCCCAAAAAATGTATTCTGATTGAGATGACAAGGTGTTCAATTCGAATCCCTTGAAACACTTAAATTATCACATAAAACAGGCGCTGGTGATAAATCGTCGCGATTTGCAGTCAGTTAGAAGTGATTTGCAGTCTGGTGGACTAGACTATATAAATAAATAAATAAATAAATAAATAAATACATTAAAAAAACAATATAGCAGACAGCTTGCCTACTAGAATCACATTAGACCCACAACTTAATCTGGAATATCACTCAATGCCTGCTGACTGAGATTCGGTTTTATGTGATTCCACCTCTCCCAGTGTGGGTTGAAGAATAAGCGAGTCGATGTGAGTCGGTGTGCACTTCAGTTTTACTACACAGTGCACACGCCCCCTCAGACTCCGTAGACGTCACGAAGCGTCTCATGCTTGTCGAGAGCAGTGGTCGAGAGAGACGTCAAACAGCAGAGGACAAGACCTTCTCAACCTTCACAGAGGACGATGATGAAAGGGGAGAGGGGGTGGGGGAAAGAAGGAGGACAGAGGAGGATAGGGGACAAGGGTTGTGGAAAATAATGACTGTATATGGAAAAGCACGATCTGTCTGTCTGTTTCTGTAGGCTATAGCTCAATCTATCCATCCATCCATTTGAATACTTAGCCATACAGCATTGCCTTCTTCCATCTTGACAGGTGAATTTAGCTTGACCACCTAATGCCTAATAACAGTGTAATGACGTATAAGTAAAACCGACATAACATGGTATGACAACATTATGTCATGCTTATGTCATTTAGTCAATCAAAAGTCAATAACGTCCAATGTGTTGTTGCTTGCAAATTTAGCAAACTAAAGCAACAGTTGGTCTCGGCTCAAGCATTGCAATGTGCTTCTCCAGAATATTGTGAATGAATGACAAAACTGGGTCACATTTAATAGGAAGCAAATAGCCCGAAACAGGGAGGGACCTACCTAAATCCGACCAATAAGAAAGCTTGTTTTCATTTTTCGTTGCAAAACATTTAGGTATGGTGAGGCACTAATAAACATGACCTGGGGTACAGTAAGCACAATGCAACACATTACCCAATCAAACCCTTTACATGGATTCATCTTCCTTCAAGTGACAGACAATTGTATTATGCCAGTGGATTTAGGCATGAAGATGTAGGATCTTAATTTGAGCCAGTTTGCTACAGCAGGAAAATAATCATGCACCAACAGGAAATGTGAATTATTATGTGGATTATAATTAATTGACATTTTAGTAGGGGTTGATACATTTTTCGTATGGGAAAATCAAGTCTGAAATTTCTAAGAGGAAATTACAAACTTCAGAAGCCTTTTTAAACCACAAACACATTACAAGTGTCACGACTTCCGCCGAGGCTGCCCTGGTTCGGGCAGGCTTCGGCGTTCGTCGTCACCGGAGTACTAGCTACTGCCGATCCCATTCTCATCACTCCACTTGTCATGTCTTGTCAATCACACACACCTGGTGCTCATTCCCCTAATTAGTATGTGTATAAGTGTTCCTTCTGTTCTCCTTGTCTTTGTGAGTGATTGTTTTGTTGTGAGAGCGTGTAGCTCGGTTGAGCTACATTTCACTGTGTTATTGCCAAGGTGGATGTTTTCCCTTGTACAGTTTCGTTTGACTCTTTGGGCGTTTGATTTATGTAAACGGAATAAACTCTGGACTTCGGTATTTTACCTCCTGCGCCTGACTCCTTCTTTCACACCTCGTCACAACAAGTTTAAAATTTCCTGCATTGCAGGAAAGTTCTCCAGCAACAGGGTGATCAAATTAAGATCCTACATCTGTACCAGAGTTGTGCTCATTGGGGCACAGCGTAGCAAAAAGTCTGGGTAGTCCCTCCACTGTTTTCTTTCATTTGGTGCCCAATGAACACGACCCTGCTCCTCACTGGCCCTGCACACATAGGCTAGTGCACCCATCATCACTGAGTTCACATTCAATATGTACACAGAATCCGACCAGCTAGAGGGGGTGTAAGAAAAAGTAATACATCCACTCTCAAAACACCACACAAACACAACAGCCAAAAAACAGAGCACCCTGCCCACCAATCTTAAGAAAGCAAAGTTTCTCTTTTCGCTGTGTCATTATTTAAGCAGCATGGAACTGGCCCGTTCACTGTGAATAATGTTATTATATAAGAACTGGGAGAAACTGTTTACTAGCAGTCAAGATGGCAGACGATTACCTATATACACTCTTAGATTTCTTTTTTCTCCAAAAGGGTTCTGTGGCTGTCCCCATAGGAGAACCCTTTTTGGTTCCAGGTAGAACTCTTTTGGGTTCCATGTAGAACCCTCTGTGGAAAGGGTTCTACATGGAACCAAAAACGGTTCTACCTGGAACCAAAGGTGTTCTTCAAAGGGTTATCCTATGGGGACAGCCGAATAACCCTTTTTGGTTTTAGATGGCACCTTTTTTCTAAAGGTGTACCAAGTGACCTTAGCACCTCTAAACAGTATAGGCATATGGCATAAACTCCCTCCCTATAAGTGAGGTCTCCATGTACATCAGAGATGTGTAACACAGAACTGCCTATTTACTGCCTGTGAGTCATTGTCTGAGTTCCAAATAGTAGTGCACTACTTTTGACCAGGGCCCATAGGGATTAGGGTGCCATTTGGGACGTAACGATGCAGTCATGCATGCCTAATATTCCCTCACTGCCGTGACTGTTCCACCTGTTTGATGCTTCAAGAAAGGGAAACATTCAACAAGGCTCGAGTCCCCCTAAATGGATGGGCTAGATAGGGGGAAGGGAGGGATGGCAGAGGGGGTCTAGCTATTACCAGCAACATTCCTGGCCCCCTGCCAGAGGTGGAAGATCACACCACACTTACCAACCAGCTGAGGAAAACATATAGGGTGTGACCGAAATGGTACCCTATTCCCTATAATGGCCTAGTGCACCACTTTTGAGGCTAGCTAGGGGTACCTATCGAGCCGCAAGACTTCAAAATTTGTCTGGACCTCTGAAGGGGTGATCAATTCTAGGAATGTAAAACTGCTATTGAGAAAGAAGGTTCAGGATGGCAGCTTAATTCCCTTCACTGATATTTATTGCTGATGCGTTTCGGAGCAAGCTCTTTCTTCAAAGCACTATCAAATGATCACGAAAACAGAGAAACATGCTACAACCTAAAGCAAATTACTCATCCCCTACAATGGGCGCAGATACGTTTTGTTTAGAGTGCTGACGGAGTCTCCCTTGACACATCTCCAGAAAATATGCTGCATATTAGCTCAGAGAGAGAGAGAGAGAGAGAGAGAGAGAGAGAGAAACAGAGAGAGAGAGAGAAACAGAGAGAAAGAGAGAGAAAGGGAGGGAAGGAAACAGATATAAAGCATGTCTTCACCTCTCTGTCTCCAGTGAAATGTCTCTATACTAACAGAGTATCAGGGTGACGGGAGGATAAGCCCTAGACAGTAGACAGACAGTGATGTCACCGGGACCACTGCAGTGACTCAGACTGCTCTGAGGACACTAAAATAGCTCCCAATATATATATACACACACACACACACACACACACACACACACACACACACACACACACACACACACACACACACACACACACACACACACAGCTGGTGATTATTTAAGAATGTTGCCTGCCCTGCCGGTCGTTTCCACAGCACCCAAGACTGAGACTGACTGCGAACACACTGACTGCCCACATGGACAGGTTGCATTGCTAGAGGGGACAGGACTGAGTGACTGATGCAGTGTCACACACACACGCACGCACACACCCACTCATTCGTGCAGCCTTCTGGGAGAAGAGCTCAACTACGAGCAAACCACCCACAAATGGTGCTGGTAATGGCGTAATGTTTCAACAATCCATTATGTAAGGGAGTTATGTAATGTTTTGTAACATCTGGAGAGGAAAACAGGGCAAAAAAGCTAATCCCACACACACCTGCAGTGGGTGATAGGTCCTAACCCTTGACCCTTTACCCTGATCCTACCCCCTACTATAGCCGAGGGGCCTATCCCAGAGTCAACACTGACACAGTATGAATTCTCTGCCCACCTCCTACCCTAACCATTCTATGTTTGCAAAGCTGTAAGGTGTACAGCAATATGGTGGAAGCTCCACCACTACACTGTTTATCCTACTTCACAGTCTAACCAGACCATTCAGATCTGCAAACATCGAAAGAGTTGGTTAGGACAAAGGGGAAGCAAATTGGGACCGGCTAATGTTTCTCTGTTGAAGTGAATGGCCCAAATCTAACCTCCTTCCTCTTAGTGTTGCAGCCACTGCTGTCTGGGTCACACACACACTCACAGTTTTATTTGGCCCCTTAAGTTTTGAGCAAAAACAAACAAATGTTTGTTTTTATTTTATTTGTTAATGTTGGACATAAGACTGCAGTCAATCTGGAGGCGAAAGAAACGCACACCTGTTTAGGAGTGGTGCTGGCTAGCGGAGTAGAACACCTGTTTAGGAGAGGTGCTGGCTAGCGGAGTAGAACACTTGTTTAGGAGAGGTGCTGGCTAGCGGAGTAGAACACCTGTTTAGGAGAGGTGCTGGCTGACGGAGTAGAACACCTGTTTAGGAGAGGTGCTGGCTAGCGGAGTAGAACACCTGTTTAGGAGAGGTGCTGGCTAGCGGAGTAGAACACCTGTTTAGGAGAGGTGCTGGCTAGCAGAGTAGAACACCTGTTTAGGAGAGGTGCTGGCTAGCGGAGTAGAACACCTGTGGCTAGCGGAGTAGAACACCTGTTTAGGAGAGGTGCTGGCTAGCGGAGTAGAACACCTGTTTAGGAGAGGTGCTGGCTAGCGGAGTAGAACACCTGTTTAGGAGAGGTGCTGGCTAGCGGAGTAGAACACCTGTTTAGGAGA